GTAGCTTTGTGCTTAATTCCAAACAAACAAACAAGTGTTAAGAATAGAATAGGCCTAATATTCTTCTTCTTCAAAATTCCCACGGGACTGAATAAAGAATGTAGTGTTAAAAATCCCCACCAGTGACACAGCGGTATGTCTGCGGACTTACAGCGCTAGAAATCGGGTTTCGATACCCGTGGTGGGCAGATCACAGTTAGCCCATTGTGTAGCTTTGTGCTTAATTCCAAACAAACAAACAAGTGTTAAGAATAGAATAGGCCTAATATTCTTCTTCTTCAAAATTCCCACGGGACTGAATAAAGAATGTAGTGTTAAAAATAGAATAGGCCTAATACTAATGTCTTATGGCAAGCATGATTAATTCACTATTTATTTTGTGTACTTTTATTCCAATATAAAATTCACAAAACAGGTTATTTACAAGCAATACTTCATTTTGTTTTGTAAAACATTTAAAAGATCAAAGAGTAGCTAATTCATAGTTGCTAGTCTTAAGTTTTTTTTGCATGCATGTATTTGAATAACTTTCAAGTTTATTTGTTGTTTAACTTATTACATAAGGAAATTATCTATCTATATGATGCCGTTCTTTACAGTTGACTATTGCAGGAATTACAGTTTCCTGTGGTTCGAAAAGACAAGGAAAATTATCCTCTTAGTAATCATTGAAAGAGGAGCATAAAACATCCCCGAGTTGTTTTGTTAGTATCGCTAATTCAATCACAAATAAACCATCAACATAATTATATATTATTAAACCTTATTAAGACACCCTTCAGTTAGGCTCTTTATTAAAGACAACAATACAAGTTAACCGACAATTAAGCTGACCTTAATAATACCCTTCCACGGGTTTATCATAGCCTAATTCTCGGCCACTGACTCCGAAATCACAACCTCGGTTGAGGGGTTGAGAATTAGGCAGGCTTGATCAACTGAGAATAACTAAATGGATTTAGATTATAGCGTAGCGTTTTCTCAGTGGGGACGGAAGTGGGAGATGTTTCCTGACGTCTCCAGCCTTATTAATTATAGCGATTAGGGACATCATCCTGTAGGATCAAGACATTAGCGACTGTAAACGTGGCTTCCGGCCAAAGACTATAATCACCAATAAATAAAAACGAAATTTATAGTAATTTAAACTGAAACTTTCAATTCGTAAAAACGAAATTTATAGTAATTTAAACTGAAACTTTCAATTCGTTTTCCGAAATAAGTGAATTTTCTACTAGAATGAAGGAAAACATTTTCCATTCTTTAGTAACTTTATTATACATGTTTAGACATGCCTATTTATCTGTTTCAGTTTCGACAAACTCTATTATCCTCAATTATGTCTGCTTGCTCAACTAGATAATTACTTATCTTTCCGTCTGTATCTTTGATTATCTACCCCTCTATATTTTGTCGATAGTTATGCATTTATTTCTGCCCCCCCCCTTTAGTGGCTCAGCATGCTTATAGCGCTAAAAACCGGGTTTCCATACTCGTCATGGGCACGGCACGTATAACCCCTTGCGTAGCTTTGTGCTTAACAGCAAAACAAACAAATTTATTTCTATGTAGCTGTAATATTTTATGTTTTCGCATGCTATAGTATGAACGTATTTCTACTTGTTCTATGTTTCGTAGCTGGAGGGAAATGAAAGAGTATTTACGTATTTCTCACTTTACCTGTCTATTTATCGATCTTACTGAGATATACGTCAAATCTTCTATCAGTATATCTTTTGATCTATCTATCCCTCACAACTAGTATGTTACAGACGATGGTCACGGTGGCTAGCACAATCTCACACAACCATTCAGAACTAGCCTTAATTATAACTTTCCAGACAGTGACTAGCTCACAGCTGCGGGTCACGTGAAACAAGACCCTCAATCAAGTGATGAGATCAGCCACTACATTGTAAATCAGTCTAAATGTATTCAGAGCAGCGGATATACATTGTTAAGGTTGTGTAGTCAGTCAATCACATTTTGCTGTATCGATTATGTAGATAATTACTTTACTTGGAATATTTTATGGATAACATGCATTTTATAGGTATAAAGTAAGAAAGCGTTTAAAGTATAACGTATTTATCCAAATCTGGATAGAAATACGTGCGTATCTCAGGATAATCTCCTTCACTCATGAGTTTTCTCTTATTGAAATTTAAAATATACCCCTGGCTAATAAATTTAGTAGTTAAAAGACTAACCAATAGATGGTGCTAATTATATGACACAATAAAAGGCCGATACTTATATTTTGTAATGATTGCAACTGTACCCACTTTGATTTGTATATATATATATATATATACATGTTATGCTACACAGTAAGCAAGCTTTATCTTTATTAAAGACTTGAAAATTTATTCACACGAAATGTACAGTTATATCCAGTGTGATTGAATTTTCGTTAAAGGGTGTCAAACAATTTATATGAATACCCGATTGTAGCCACTGTGACTGAACATACAGAGCAGTTTCAAAATATCATTTTGTCTAAAAATTTGCATTAACTGGGATTATTTTGTAATTATTAAGCTCATTTTAAAGTAACTTTTTACTGCAGGGTATCTTTAATATGGATCGTTTCTTCTCAGATCCATTATAAAGTTCAATTAAAGTAGTTGTTTATCAATATGAAACACTGCCTTGAAAAGCCTGAACTGTTATTAACTATAAAATCTCGCAATGGTCACACGGTTTCCCACTCTTCAAAATAAGGGATGGCTATTTCTGATGGCCCTTAAGTAACTTTGCACGAATACTTGGAACAAACCAACCATCTTTCATTTTGTCTACCGGCTCGGCATGGCCTTGTGATTAGGGCGCTTGACTCGCAATCTGAGAGACGCGGGTTCGAAACCCACCAAATACACTCGCCCTTTCAGCCGTGGGGCGCTATAATATGACGGTCAATTCCACTATTCGTTGGTAAAAGAGTAGCCCATGAATTTGCGGTAGGTGGTGATGATTAGCTGCCTTCCCTCTAGTCTTACACTGCTAAATTAGGAACGGATAGTGCAGATATCCCTCGTGTAACTTGGCGCGAAATTAAAACCAAACCAAAACCTTATGTTTAAGTGTTTTGAAGAAAGACCTAACTTCTCAAATATACAGTTCTGTTGCCACATCATTCTTTGTTTTATTTGAAGTGACTAGAATCAAAATGTACTCATTTCCAACAATATCTTGTTCACCAAGCTAACTGATTCACAGATCAGAGATAAATTTCTTAGTTTTTTTTTTCTGATTCATTCGAAGATGGTGCTCAAAAAGCAGAGCTAAGCAATGGGTGAATTGCGTTTTATAAATCGCGGGAATTGAGCCCCAGATTTTAGCTTTGTAAGTCCGGAAACTTGCCGTTGACACTTTGTTTGTTTGAAGTTAAGCACAAAGTTAAGCTATCTGTGCTCTGCCCACCACTGGTATCGAAATCCGGTTTATAGCGTTGTAAGTCCGGAGACATACTGCTGTGCCACTGAGGGGCTACCACTGACCCACCGGAAGACTGTTTAAAAAGCCATTCCGAATAACGCAAGTTTCAGTTTTCGGAACGGCTAATTATGAAATAACTTCGAATGATTAAAAAAAAAAGTTACTTATAAAAAAACTGAACTTTCATATGATATCGATCTTAACCACTAGGCCTACACGGTCAAGTTAATACTGAAAATATAAAACTCCTTCCATATATTCTTACTCTAAAATTTCCATTATAATTGTGCCATCAGTCGTTTTAACGTGTTAACGCGTTTTTGTTGTTTCGTTCCTATTATTATTTTTCGATTCTCATACTTAACAACAAACAAACTATTATTATTTTACATGAAATTTTTTCTGTCTCATATTTTCGGGTTTCCATTATAATTTTTTTCTGCCTGCTTCTCTGATCACGTCTATATCTTCAGATGAAAGGGGTGTTAACATCATACACTCACTCTTGCATGTAATCCCGCTTCCGAGGAAAAAATATAGTTATATAACTACTTAGCGATGTCAATCGATCATGTTTGAGTTGCGCAAGGCCCAGCAGGACTATGGATCTGAGGTTCCGTTGTTTGCTTTTGTTTGTTTTTGAATTTCGCGCACAGCTACACGCGGGCTATCTGCGCTAGCCGTCCCTAATTTAGCAGTGTAAGAC